CACCTGGGAAGCCCAGGCCAGATGACAGGAGGGGTTGCAGAGCAGAAGGCCACCAGGTAAGGTGAGTGAGGGGGAGAGGGGAACGGCAGTCTGCAGGAGAGGAGGAGCCCTGGTCCACTGCCATCAGAGGATAAGAGGAAAACGAGATTCTTCGGAAGCTGTCTTCACCACACCCACCATCTGAACCAGTCACTCATCAATGCAGACTAGAGAGTTAAAAGATATCAACTCCCCATCCAGATCTGCCAACCAATGGTCAAGTCGTCAGCTTCAAACCCATTCCTTATTGGAGATGCCTCCAATGTTAATGCAGTCTCCTCCCAAGTACATCAGTATCTGGGATGCTCTGAAAAACAGCTTGAAATGAAGAACTTAGGAAGAGTCTTTGGAGCAGAGGGGCCAGGAAGTTTGCATCTGCCCACAGCAAAGAGAGCTGAGCACCCCCAGCAGAGGGCACATGTCCAGAAGGAACCTAGAGCAGGTCTCCCCAGGGAGCCGGGCACAGTGCAGAATGAAGGCAGACACACCCCTGCCGTGCTGACTCAGACATCCTGGGGAGACAGGGACACACCCAAGTTTTGGGGAAAACTGACATTCTTTCCAGGCTGGGTCTGCCTATTATGAACATACGATTTGCACTCGCTGCAAAACGTCTGAAAAAGCAGCGCTTATGGGGGCGGGGGAAAGGACTGGGAAAGCTTGTTCAGGCAAGAAACACACTGCTGCCTCCACACCCACATCTTTCCCATCCATGGACGTCAGAGTCCTGCCGCTGGCCACTGAGTAAAGCTCCCGGCTGCCAGGAGGCTGCTGCTGCTGGGGGCAGTTACTCAGGATGCCAAGGGGGTGACAGCCACTGGAGCCAGCCACGCACTGGCTGAACAGTGTTCCTGGCTGCAAGCCCAGTGCCCACTCAGCCCCCCGGGCACTGCCCCATACATTCACAAGTGCTGCTGAGGGGTCTTGACTCCTCATGTTCAGTGCTAAAAAGACGCTCAGTCCCCTTCTGGGGAAGCTGGCTGTCAAAGGCAGTCTTGGAAGGCCACATGCAAGAGTGGCATCTGGGAGCTGCCCTTGGGTAAGAGATTTCCTGACAACTTGATGAATAGCACCCAGGCAGCTGTCGTCTGGAGTGGCCTCGCATCCCAGGGTCCCCAGTGAACTAGACTCATTTAGCCTTGGGGCCTGGAGGCAGACAGGGCATCTTAGTCCCAGTGAGCCCTGATGGAGACTCTTCATTGTTGTCACAGCCCCTAGAAGCACCAGTCCCTGTTAGGGATGTTAACTCATGTCGTCACAGCAGCCCTGTTGGGCGAGTTCCTAGAGGAGGTCCAACCCCCCACCCCAAAGCCAAGAAACAGGCCACAGGGCTGGGAAGACATCCCAGGGCTGACTAGGGTGACTTGCATCATCCTTAATACCATTTCTTCTCCAGGAAATCCACCTCTTTCCCTTCCAGGAGGAAACACCTCACCACAAGTGCTACACTGGGGATTCAGAAGCACCCAGAGCCTGGAAGATGAGGGATGCTTGGCAGGACCCCTAGCCCTTCCCAGAGCCATACACCCAGGTGAAGGGGAGACGCATTAGGCTCGGGGCAGGTCTGTGTGCCCCCTGCTGCCACAGCACGGAGAGGAAGGAAAGTGGCTCCACCTGCTGCCAGGTCCCCTCCAGTACCCGGGCCTCCTTCAGGGCACTAACCTAGGTGGCAGCAGAGGCCCAACCCTGCCTCTCTTCCCCAAATAGGGGCAAACACCCCAGCCCTTTGCCTCTTCTTTCCACCTCTAGCTTCACACCAGGTGCCACCTGACAAATCAGCCAGGTACCTTAGAGCCAAGACCAAGAGGAAAGTGGGGAAAACTGCCCCTCCCTTTAATTTGCTACATTGCTGACCTACAGGAGTGTTCTGGACTTTCTGTAATCCCGCAGGGAGGGCTTTATAAGGGTGAGGGGACTCAGAGAATCCGGAGTGGTTTATCTAAACTCATGCAGGAAGGTTCTAGAAGAATGTAGGTCTAGAACCCAGATGTCCTGATTACTACTCCAGCAGTTGGTGTTTCTGCTTGGTCTCACGTGCACTTACCTGTGTGGACGGATTGGTTTTTTACCAGAACATGATCTAATGTGGAAAGGTGAGAGGGGAGGGGAGGCAATGGAATTGCAGTGACGGGCTTGAGGAAGGGCTGAAGCATGGATAGCGGCTCCAGTCACCGTGTGTACACACACGTGTGCGTGCACACACGCAGGAAGGGCAGGACTGAGGTAGGGCCTGCAGGGTGGCTGCCCTGTGGAATGCAGCTGTCCAGACTGGGCCAAGGGTGCCCAGTCCACTCCTGCCTGGTCCACTCCCATCCGTTCCCCCTGCAGGAAGCCGACATGCACTAGTGAGGGGTTTCACATGAAGCAACACCACATGTTATCTATTCTATGGGGCACCAACACCAGACCAAACACACAGGACCAGCAGGAGAGCCACCTGCTCTCCTGACTAGGCCTGTCCCAGCAAGAAGGCACAGCACAGAGCTGTCCCTTCCTGGGAGAGGCTGGCAGTTCTGTAAAGGAGCGGTGCCGGGCAGTCTGGAGGGTCTGCGACGGCTTTCTGAGCAGCCTTCCAAAGCTGGGTGGGCTTTCCCAGCCTGCATGGGCTCCATCCTCCTGTCCTTCTGATATCAAAGACTGAATGGAGGGTATTAGGCCCTTCCTCTGAGTTTTGTGGATCCTCATGAAAACTTAACAGGCTGAGAGAGGAGAAGCAGCAGGAAATCTGTTTCCATGAGGCCGTGGGCCTGGTGTTCATTTGATCCGGCCTGGTGTTCATTTGATTTGCCAGCTGCCTTCTTTCTGACACTGGGCACAGGCCAGTTTTCCCATCTGGTGGTGTGGCTGGCTCTCTGGGAAGGGTCTCAAACATGGGTCCACTCCTCCTCCCGCCAAAGAGACACTCGGGTCCAAGCAGGTTTTATTCCCTCATCCCAGTGACATTTGGGTGCTGGATGGAGGTGGCTCTGATGCACACAAAATCACATTTGCACGGACGTACATGACACAGACAGTGGGTGGAGTCACTCAGGTGGTCAGAAGGGAGCCTGCACAGCTGACACCAGTGCATGCAGACACACAGGGACGCACAGCAGCAGAAGCGCAGGCAGGGCAGGAGGCAGGGCAGCCCCAGCCCGTGTCCACAGTTCGTGCCAGCCTCAGAGGTTTCTCTCCTTCTGGAGAGGGCTGTTGCTGGGAAAGAGGGGCTGGGACGCAGACCACCACCGACAGGGAGGCAAGACCCCCGCATGCGATGACTGCAGCTCAGAGGGAACATCTGGGAGAGACTTTCCATCAGGAGCCCAGCAGTGCCCTCTGCTGGGCATGATGGGCTGGTGCAGCTCAGACAGGGAGGCTCTGGCCAGGCTGGAGGCAGCAAGGGGGTGGGTGTGTGTGTGCATGTGTGTTTCACTCTCACAGGGTGAGAAGGGCTGAAATCTGGGCCTGACGGGGATTCTGCACAGAAAGGCCTCACTGTATGTGCATTTTGTTAGGGTGATTAGTGTACCAGAAATTTCCATCTAGAATACCAATTTTCTTAACCCCCTACTCACGGATTCAGGCAAGCTCACCCAGGCACCTGGAGAGGTGGGTACATGAAGGATCTGTTGCTCCCCTAACCCCCACAGCCACATGCTACAGGGGGTACACTCAGTGGTGAAGCCATACAAGGCATATGCTGACTTCTTGCTTTCTCTCAGTCAGCTGCTCCCCAGAGCATCCCCCCAAACCTAGGTGACAGCCTCCCAGGCTCTCTGCACAGACCACAGGGGGTCCTATGGGTCCTGCTCCAGGGAACGTCATAAAGGCATATGCCCAGGCCTCTGGCAGCCGATCTGTCTTGGCACCCCACGCCCCCAGGCCTCTAGCATGCCCTCCTTTTCCACAAGTTCGGGGGCTGGCCCCCTGTTACCGGAGCCCTGGGATTCCCCCTCATTCCTGAAGGCTCCTTCAAGTCTGTTCTGCTTCAGAACCAGCTGTCTAACCAAACCTGCTGATCCACAGGCATCAGACCAGGACGGTGGAGAGGTGGAGAGAGGGCTCTGCATAAGAGGGAGGAATCTGATGGAAGCACGGATATCCCTACTTCACTGCCGACAATGCCTGAGGGTGGGGCAGGCAGGGTGGGACAGCCCATTGGTATGTGTCTGAGCATGTGTGTGTATGGAGGGGATGCTGTGTTGTGGATGGAGTTGGAAGGAAAATGGGGAAAAAGCTGGTCTACAAAGATGAATCATCTCTGTATAAAGTGTTTTCCCCTGATGTAGATGGTGATGTATTTATACAATAAAATTTATTAGACTAGATAAAACCAAACTAGTGCAGTCACATTTGTGGTCTGACGTGTCAGTTTCTTGTGGGTTGAAGGAAGGAGAATTATTCTAAGATTAAGAAAACCTAAGTAAAAAAGTAGACTGATCTGAACGAGGCATCTGGGGGGGCCTGGGGGCACGACGGGGGGGGGGGGGGG